CCTCCAGAGCCGACTCAGAGGGCCCCTCGCTGTCGGAATCTGGTGGCAGCTCCAACGGCACCTGCTGGGCCACAACAGATCCCCATGTGCTTAAGCAAACTGAGTCATCGAATAATTTCACATCCCCATGTCCTGGATTCAACGATGGACCTCATCATTCCGTTCTCCCTCAGACCTAATGAAGTAGAATACAAATGGACTCTCCGAAGGAAGACAAGGCAGACAGACAGGAGTACAAAATTCAAGACAGACAACGTGCACTTACAGAAAGCTTATCGAAGAGGCTGTCCCCCGGTTCTTTCTCCTCCATGAATAACTGCAAGTTCTTGAACACCTTACAGCAAAGACAGATTGTGTCAGAATATTCATGAACTGGAATAGGACATAGCAACAGGTCAGCCATTGGGGGGCTGGCTGGAATAGGAGGACATGGTAACAAGATCAGCCCATGTATAGGCATGGCAACTGGGTCAGCCAGTGGGAACTATTTGGTGACTGAGAGCCACGCCAGATGGCTCGGAGCCTGGGCGTGGCTTACCTATGTAGCTCTGAGTCTGTGCAAGAGAACTAATCAAGTCTGTATTAAGCTCTGAACTGAAACCCAGCTCTCCTTTGCCTGTGTTTTGCCTGTAACTACTACCAAGTTGAAGAATCCACTATTGGTATCTTACATTTACTCATGCATTATTCTGTATATAAAGAAGTTAATGAATCCTGCTGAATCAGTTACGCTTTCTGGATTTGATTTCTGCAACAAACTGGCAGATTTCACAATAAGGGCCTCAGAAAATTTACAGCAACAGGATGTGCAGAAATGGATAGATTAACACTTGCAATTAAGGAAAAGGAACGGGCTGAATATTTTATAATATGGGATTTATTTTATCAATGGTTAGATAACAAAAACAGAAGTTGGAAACGTGGAAACGTAAGAAAAAGATTAATGAAATAAAGGGGGGTAGAAAAGTAAACATTATGATTATTATTTTCATTGTTATAGAATGTCAATGTTGTGAATATTGTTGTAAACATTATGGCCATCCTTCAAACTATTTGCACCCAGACAACACATTGTTTAATTGAAAATGGAATTTATGTGTGTTAAAAAAATAAAAAACTTTATACAAAAAAAAAAACCCTTTTGGGAGGGGCCAATCACCTCCAAGGTGTGGTTTTACTCTTAAGTCGACCCGGCTTTCTTAGTTGTTGTTGTCTTCTGGAAGCTCCGCACATGCGCATACTGGGAACAGGCTCCAGCTGTTCCTCTGCCTCGCTGCTGTCTAGCTCCTCTGCTCTGATGCAGAGCCCTCGTCCGAGCCTTCCCCAGACTCCAGGACTGGCCCATGTTCCTCCCCAACCTCCTCACTGTGCTTTCAGCTCCGCTGGCCGCCGGGAGGCCACAGCAGAAAGGATACCCTCTTTGCAGAGACACAATGGGTACCAATGAATAACGTTAGAGCAGCTAAGATGATAAAGAAATTCCATTCTAGATACCCTGAACGACCCAGGTGAGGGGGGAAGATTAGGTGATTAAAATCATTTCTATCTGTATATTTCCAGATCCATTCTTCTTATGGGGGGAGGGGAGGGGGAGGAAAGCATGTCAAGTGTGAAACGATGGCAGCTACGTGTCTCTTCTTTTCAACTTGCCACTTGAGTAAGGGGAGGAGGTGTTGCTTTAGAACAGGTTAGATGGAGAAACGAAACCTCCACGCTTCTGCTGAAGGCGGTGAGAGCCTGAAACCTTTTCAAGGACACCGTAGCAGGTGCCGCGTTGAAGCAGACGGTTCCCGTAAACAAAGAGAACTTGTTTCCATGGACTATGTGAGAGGTTGGGCTGGGGAAATTATTGTTTAATTCTATGAACTGGTGTCTGGGAACTTCAGAGTTAGTTCTGCTTCGACGTTACCCTGCAGTGTATTCATTAAACAGTAAGATTTTTGGGGGGAAACGGAATGAAAGGGGAGTTTGATTTGGATTCTTGAGCTGGATGTTGACAGTTTGTTACGTAGAGTTCCACTCCTGATAGACTCTAAGTTATGTACAAATTCATAACGAAAACGGGAAATCAATAACATTCCAAATAAATAGAATGCCATAATATAATGCAATACAGCAGTCCGGGAGATGACATCAAATGTCTTTAGGCAAACAACATTCTTCTCTAATCTCTTCTGGGATTTGAAGGCCTTGCAGGACAAGAAGGGTTTTGCAATGTTCTGAACAATTATCCAGGTCAGGCCTGGTAGGCAATAGATCCCTAATAGCTCTGGTGCATTTCCATTGTGAAATATTAGAACCGTGAAGGAAAACCTATGGCCCATGTGCCACGGGTGGCACACGGAGCCATCTCTGCGGGCACGCGAGCCGTTGCCCTATGTCAGCTCCAGCACCCATGCACCCAGCGGCCAGCTGATTTTCGGCCTCCCCAGAGCCTCCAGAGCCTGGGGAGGGCGAAAAACAGGCCTACCGGAAGTTCAGAAAGGGACCAGAGGGTTGCAGGAGGCCATCGCAGCCAGAAACGGAGCTCAGGAATCTGTTTTTGCTGGCAGAGACACCGCAGCCCGGTCCTTCACTGTTTCCAGGGTGGCACCACGGGCCAGATCTAAACACTCGGCGGGCTGGATTCGGCCCCCGGGCCGTGAGTTTGACACCTCTGGCCTAAGCTCTCCGCGTTACGCTCTTTGGAAGCGCCCAGTTGGATCGGGGCCACCCCCCTAGCTCACCTGCTTCTCCACGGACACCTTGTTGTAGTAACGGATGCAGTCCTTGCCCAGGAAGTCGAACTCCACCACGTTCTCCTTGCCGCCCTGCCGTGAGTGCAGAGCGATGTGCTCCACTCGCAAAGAGCAGCAGCCCACTGTGTCAGCCGTCTCCCCTTCCTCTTTCTCATTCCCCGCCCTCAGGGCCAGCTGGAAGGAGACAAAGGAGGGGGGGTGATCGTTCACTTTAGAGCCATGGTGGCGCAGTGGTTAAATGCAGCACTGCAGGCTACTGCTAGATCAGCAGGTCAGCGGTTCAAATCTCACC